ATGGCCCACCTAATGGCAACTGTCAACCACAACTTATATGAACAATACCACCACCACGTTATCGTGCGAAGCTCGTGGTACCCCTCACATATAGACATTTCAGCGTAGGCACTAGTGTATGTATATAAAAACTAAAATCAATGTAAAGTACGTACATATTACAGAGGAAAGCCCATGTCCGGTATGTAGTAATAATTACATAACACGATAACTAGTTAGTAGATATATTTAAACTAATTACAATAACTGACCACAATTACCTAACTTGTAATTTGTGCTAATACCATTTTCCACATTATACTTACAACTGTATAATATACGAGTAGTATGTCCTCTGTGGTAATATCATAAATAAACACATATTAAACATATTTGTTAAATTCTTGATAATTATTGTAATATGTGAACTTAGGAAGGTTTTTACGTTATCAATTAATTACATGATAATTATAGTCAATTAGTATCATCCGTATTACATGAATGTAGATACATATACCCTATATATTTTTGTTTTATAACAGATATAGCTTTATATACGAGTCATGCATCGAAAATTTATGTATGCATAAAGTATTAATCATCATCATTACATAGTAAAAAACTAAATCGCTGTCGCTGTCTGTCCGTCCTTATGTATGCTTAAATCTTTAAAAGTACGCAACGGATTCTAGAGGTTTTTTTTAATAGATACGAGTGATTCAAAAGGAAGATTTATATATATAATACATGTACACCTGTGTGAAGCCGGGGCGAGTAGCTAGTATTATTTTAAAGTAATTGAATCTTAGTCATCTTGAATATAATTTACATACTCTTTGATCAAATACAGAATGGGTTTACGACAAACTGCATCCTAGTTTACTAGTTCCATAAAGGTTTGATTCTTGAATGCACGAATTTGCAATTGAAGTCGGCATTATTTTCAAATATTTATTTTTCTTAATAAAGTTTTTACAAGACCGTAATAAGTTATTTCATTCAATACATTCCTTGAGAATGCGGCCAGGCAGCATTGCCTTTCCATTTTATATGCAAGTATATACCAGCCCATTTAGGTAATAAATTTCATCATTTACTGGGATCTACTTTTCAATAATATAATTTTAGTTGTATAATATTGTAATAATAACTGTGAAATTAAATAGTACAAAATATTGTAGTTTAAAAATTTATCATGCAAGAAAATGTTTGATATTCCGGTATATATTAATTAAGTAGAGAACTTCTTTCTCTACATAATTAATATACGTATATTGTCAGTTCTGTGTAAGGTAAAAAAACAAAAGTAAAGTAATAAATTATTTATTATATTACTCGAAAATAAATACCGTCGTACAGCTATGGATTGTAATACTTTAAATCAGGAGTATAAAATATAAAATACGTCTATACATAATTTATAGATAGTAAATGAATCGCAGCTGGTCGCAATTGTCGTATCGTGACGTTGGAATGTGTCACGTGGTGACACCGAGGTGACACCAGCCAACAAGCCAGTGAGCCAGAGACCAGGACAGCACTATTCCTTGAGGATAAGCTCCACAAACGCAGTGTCGAGGTCGTCTCCGATGTCCTTGTACTTCTCTTTCTCAGCAACAAGTTCATCTGTACATTTGCCAACATTTTAATATTATAATTAGCACATTTCGTAAATGTAACCCTCGTACTTATAAAATGATGTTACGTGGTCAATGCTTAACTTGACAGATATTTAAATCCATACAAAAAATACTCAATATTCACATTAACAATCTAATATTATATCGTTTAGAAGTAAGAGAGTAAATACATTCAAACAGGTAGTCCAGAAATTAATAAACAATCAATTTTTATTTATTAAAAATCCATAGTTTTTGTCGTTCCCTAAGCTACACTTTATACGTTTTGCTACGAGAATGCTCAACACCGGTTACAGTCTAATTGAAATACGAATGTCTGTCATTTCGTTAATGATGGAAGTAATTATTACTACCTGGCATAACATCATAACAGTCCATTATCGTCTCCGAGGGTGTTTTCTTAAAAGAAGGATTTAGTCTACTACACTGACCAAGAGTATCTAAAGATTTAACATCATGTTTTCCTTTACTTGAACAGATGATAGTCTTGGTTCCCTAATCGTACGAATGAAACAGTGGTGACAAATTGCCCACTGAATTTTTTGATATAAGATCATAAACAAAATAGATTGTGAGTCATTCATATTTTGTTTGAAACGCGTCCTGTTTATACATTTCAGTATTATTGTATTCCAATTTTACGAATGAGCCACACATAAAAGTACATAGCTGACTCTCTCTCTAACTGTACAAAGCTGACTCAGTCAGCTTTGTACAGTTAGACGGTAACAATAATTGTACGCAGAATAACAATTACATATATTATATATTTTTGTACAGAATACTACAAAAATTTCTATATGTATCTAATAAATATACGTATAATAATTACATATGTAGTTTAATTACAGACACTTTGTTGTAATGTTGTCTTTTTTTTCATATTTCTGCTAGTTTCGTTCATTCATGATTTACATTCATTAGTCTTATATAGTCTCATACTCGTATGATGATATTGAACTCCGACAAGTCAAGTTTTGCAGCAAATTAGTGTCAGCATAAATTGACTTCGTACTAAGTGATAGTCTCACTATTTTATTATTTCAATGTTTCTAATAGTAAAAAATTGAGAGTATGTACTAGTATTAATTTAGTGAATGAGTACTGTAGTGAGTACTTAATACGAAGCCTGTATTATTGCATACAAATAGGGTAGGGAATGCTTGTAGACGAGATAATTTAATATTAGACACATATACAATTACTAATAAGTCGAGATAACAATAAAGAGATTTTTTTTAAATAACAATTATCATTAATTTTTTGCAGTAACTTACATTTCATAAAAAATATTTGAATATGACTATAAAGAATGGACACAATGCATGAAAGTATGCCTGAACGTTGAAAGTGTCTTCACATATATACACATATTTGATGGTAAAATATATTCAGATTTGACTAACCTCGTCTACATTCATCGTACCCACTATGTACTGTAGAATTTTGATTAGATTTAGAAGATAGAGAATTAATATAAATGAATATGCTTACATTTGCGTGGTCCTTGTTATTCCGAAGCCATGCGCTTTTGTCGTTGTTACCATAAGCTTTTCTTTTATTACTTGATGTAGTAACGTCATCATGCAAATTTTGTTGGGTTTTTGACCTTAATATGATCGTCTGTCGGTATTATTATTTCATTACAGGGTATTACCAAAATATCTAATTAGGGGCAAAACTTTATTATCAGTTAAATGCACATGAAAAGCGAAGATGTAAAGCAGTCGCGATGGTGACTGTTCAGTGACAGCAAGTGCATCTGTTGCAGGCGCGCATAGAGGGCGCAGACGGCGGGGACTGCAGCCCGAGGTCCTTGAACGCGCAGTCCAACTCGCCACCAATCTCGTGGTACAGCTCTTTGCCGGCGATCAGATCGTCTGCAGATACCACCACGGTCAGTGGTTACGAAACGATACGCCATTTGTTATTTATTATCTACACACGCATGCATCGTCGACAGTCAGGGGAATTTATTAGATTTATTCCCGTTGTATTTATATTTCAACGCGCGTTAAATTAAAACTATTCCATCAGCTATATTTAATTGTTTTTTAATTGTGACATAAAAAATAAAAACTCATTTAAGCGTCGTGGGCGGATTTTTGAGATAGTGGATCTGATTTTTTTATATAACTTTAAGACGCCGGTGTTGCTTCAACAGGCGCTTCAGCTGGCGCCGGGGCGGCAGCTGTAGGTGCTGCCTCAGACGGCGGCGCAGCAGCTGGAGGAGCGGCTCCTTCAGCTGTAGGAGCAGCTGTTTCAGCCGCAGGTGCAGCCGCTGCAACGGGGGCGGCGGCACCTTCGGCCGGAGGTGCAACCGCCACGGCCGGAGGAGCAGCACCTTCAGTCGGAGGTACAGCTCCTTCTGCCGGTGGAGCGGCACCTTCAGCCGGAGGTACGGCGCCTGGTGCTGGAGGAGCGGCCCCTTCAGTCGGGGGAGCTGTGCCTTCTGCCGGGGGAGCGGTTCCAGTTGGTGCAGCGACACCTTCAGCCGGTGGAGCTGCGCCATCAACTGTAGGGGTTGCACCTTCAGCCGGAGGAGCTGCACCATCGGCCGGAGGAGCAGCGCCTTCAACGGGAGGAACTGCTCCATCAGCCGGAGGAGCAGCACCTTCAGCAGGAGTAGCAGTCCCGTCAGCTGGAGGAACAGCGCCTTCAGCGGGAGGAACTACTCCATCAACCGGAGGAGCAGCACCTTCAGCAGGAGGAGCAGTTCCGTCAGCCGGAGGAGCAGCACCATCTGCAGCCGGAGGAGCAGCACCATCTGCAGCCTCGGGTGCTGGTGGCGGAGTGGGCTCCTTGGGTGGCGGTGTAGGCTCCTTCGGTGGTGGTGTAGGCTCTTTGGGTGGTGGATGCAGACGTTCGTACTCGCGACGTGCTTCCTCGATCTGGCGAGTGGTCGGATCCACTCCAGGGATCAGCTCCACGAAGGAGTCGTCGATGTCGTCCCCAATATCGTTGAACTTCTCCGTCTCGTTGATCAGGTCATCTGCGGCAGGCGGCGACGGTGAGCGATACCGAATGCGTTAGCGGGGCCCGCTTGCCGCCCTCGGGACGCATGCGTTAACACCGGGGCCGCTCCATGCTTCGCTACACTACAGGAAGTGGTTCGGAGGATTCTTCATGCCCCGTGCTTCGGACGATGATAATGTACAATGTCGTTCGTTCTCAATGTGCTCAATATGATTTCCCCGTTTCTATGAAGGTAAGTTACTTCTCGCAGTCTTTCAAAAATGCAAACTCAAGATGACGAAGATGCGCGAGCGGGTATTTCAATGACGATGTTTTCGCATTTAATGATTATAGCTGATAGAATCGATATGAGTTAGTCGGGTAGAAAAATGATAGGGCACACAGATTAGTAAAAAAAACACAATCTAAAAATAATAATATATATTTATAAACACTTGTGTTAAAATACTCTTAAAAATCATTAATTTATTTTTCACGACCTAATCTATCAATTCATTCATTAATCGATAACATTAAAAATACGGATTGTTCTCGATAATCCAACGCGTTTCGCAGCAATGTACTCGACATAAAATTGCCAGCTTGTTTAATGAAACTGCATTAAAGTAATTTGCATTCAATATTGAAATAAAATGGACGCTTATTCATCGATTAATTTAAATAAATAACAACAAACTCTTTATGACACAAGAAAACATACTCGAAACAAATAGAATATCGAATACTTCATAGCAAAGTACATTATACTTACAAAATTAAATATCATATTTACGTGTTACCATCACTCATTAAATAAAAATATCTAATCTCTTTTTAATATTAAGTAAATAAAGAGTTCATAAGGTAGAATGTGTAAATAGTGCAAATTGCAAATCGTTTTGTGAATAATGTATTTATCCCATAAAAAATAAGTGAATAGAGAGAATGAAAAATTAGAGAATCATTTTTCTAAACACGTAATATACAAATAATGTGCAATTGTAAATAAATGGTAATTTTGGTCCCCATTTTGGAATGTCGACGTTTTGTCGTAACTATAAATATAGAAAGCGCCAAAGAAGCATTACTTCAGCGGCATACATTGCAAAAATCGTTCATTAACAGACACGCTCGTAATATAATGACTAAAAACAAAATACACCTTCAACATTTAATCGGGAAAATATTAGTAATTTGTGTATCAAATAAAAAAATTGCACATGGCAGTGTTGTGGCGAACCGTAGTTGTCGTTACATTATAAAAAAAGCGGCTGGCAATTACACTATATCTAATAACATCTAGTCGCCCGCCCTCCTCGCTAGACGATCGTCAGTATTAATAAATAAATTAATTTCAAAAACATTTAGCTTTTATGTCAATACATTTGGTACTAAACGGTATTATTTCGATGGCTCAATATTGTTTAGTGTGATAAGGACGTAGTGTAGCAAGGGGGTCGGGCGTGTGAGTGGGGCGGAGGGGGAGTGAGGTGTTCACATGTTCTGGATGTCGTGGAGCGTGGCCTCCATCTCCTCTTGAAGGATTTTGCTCTTTTCGCGCTCGGCTACCAGGTCGTCTGCAAGGGCGGACACGTGGCCACGGTCAGTCGCGCACACAACATCGTACATGTTCACACTTGGTTCAAACTATCACAATTTCAATTAATGAAAATCAATAAAAACATCAATTGCAAAAGGCTGCGTGAATGAAAAGATTTGCCTCTTTTTTTGTTGTAAAAAAAAGAGGCAAAAGATGTATTATTTTTCTTCCTATATTTTTATTTAAAAATCCTATATTTATAAAAATTAAGATAATTAATTTGTTTGATGAAAATTTGAACCAAGGAGTACAGGCAAAGACAACATCAAATTAAAACCATGCGAAAAATCACAGGATATTAAAAAAACTGTTGGGAATTCCGAGCATCTAGTAGGACAACATACATACATGCTCTAAAAATTACGCTCAACACGATTTGACATCCGATACGCGTCGGGCCAATTTGGTACATTTTTCCTTCTGTTAATTTGACTGACATCGGCCCGACCTATCGCCTGCTAAATTGTACCTTGCGTAAACAGTTTAAGTATATGCACAGATTTGTCAAGTGTATATCTGACACGTAACAATATTACGCAACAGAAGCGACACTCACTGTTTGACAATTCTGTGCATTTAGTTTGATAAAAAATATAAATCAGTTACAATGAAAAAGAAAATATTAAGCTTTGTAACTAGAGCGAGTATGACAGTAAAATATAAGCTTTCAAGTCTATTGTACAGCATCAAACTCAATAAGCCAGCTCTAATGACGGCTGTGATGGATATAAGTGCAATTTTAATGTTGAAAGCTTTGGTTATTACTCAAACGATGGTTATTATTAACTTGACTTCAGAGATATATCAATTTTGTAACTTAACCGATCTGCTGTACGTAGAATATGGTGCAATAATATATCTGAAGAACCTTGAAAACTATTATAAAACATAAAATTATATAAAATTTATTTAAATTACGTTCCTATTATAAAAGTATATGTATCTAGAAAATATAAAACTTATCTAATATTTAATATGTATCCAACGTGAATACCGAGATAACAGTTGTAATATACCCTTATATATAATATATAATCATCAGTGCTATATTACCTTCAAGCCTGTCGACCTCCTTCTGCAGTTTCTGCACCGAACGCTCGGCGAACTCGGCGCGCGCCTCAGCCTGTAAATTTAACATTTATTGCTTTAAAAGTAATTCTTTTAAAACAGTCTATTTTCTGTTACTCAAGTAACTACATTGATTAACACGTCAGAAAATAAACTGTTGTAATATTGATGCATGCATTGAACTTAATTATATTTTTTTTTATTTTCAAGAAAACTCAATCATAAATCTTTAGTAACATTAAAAAACAATATATTAATCATGTTTTTTTGTAATTTTATTAAGAAATAAAAATACTGAATCATTAAATTCTTAGTCTAAGAAACGAAAACATTTTGTTAGACAACAAAAGCTCTCTCCAAAATCATGCAAATTTACCTTTACCATAAGCTGATATGCAGCGAGTGCCGCCGCTACAACACTAATAATATAATATATACCATTACCCATTTAATAACTACCATATGAATGTGAACGTATATAAATAGTAAGCATGACCACCCTGGTTGCTTTATTTGGAAACATAATTGCATATAATTCATTGTCTTGCTATAGACACAATGGATAATTTAAATCGAATTGAGTAGGTAATATTTTAATTATGACAATCAATTAAAATGCAGGACAATTCATTAAAAATATCTATCCATCATCAGTCATCCGAAGGCACCATTGAAATATAATTAATGTTTATACTCTCAAGCGTATATATCAATACATACTAGGTACTAATGTAGAAGTCACTTTAAAATACATGTATGTTAACGGTACTAATGTACATATATGAGAAAATGTTTGGAAGACAGTGGTCTGTATGTTTGTTATATTTTTACGACTAAAAGACTATTTTACCAGGATCTGAAATTGAATGAAATTTAACGCGAAAATATGACGTAGACTTTTTTCATAATAAATAGTACTTGTCTAAAAGCGACCAGAGTGGCACGATGTGAGCACAACTTACTTGCGTCAGTTTCTGCGAGAGGCTGTGGATCTTATCCTCGACGTGTTCGCGGGACGCCATTGCCTATCCACATAGGACGTATTACTAACGGCAAACCACCGACATGCCGCCACCCCAATTGTGACTGTACGACTATTCGAACCGAATCAACCACTTGCGGCCATTTCTAGTTTGAAATAAACTACTGCTTTTGGAATTAAAACTTCCGCTTAAGGACAGTTGTGTATTGAAAACTTCCCAATAAATACATACGAGTATGTCGTATAATATACATACTATTATATACATACAACATAATTAATTTAAATAAAAACACATTCATACTGTAGATTGTTTTAAAATGTCAGCCATATCTGTTTTATAAAAACGAAATAAGCAAATAAAATTTATTTTATTTTATATAGATAAATAACATTGCAAGCTAAATCACATGTCTGATGTGGGATAGGGGAATAGATCGTAATAATAATTACAAATAATCGGGCGGACAAGGGACAGCGCTGATCTAGCGAGTATCATATAGCTTGTAATATTTACAAATACATGAATGAAATCATCGCTACGTGTTTTTATTATTTGAAGTTATATTTAGAACGAAATTTTTAGAAAATAATGGGCGCTATGCAGTACGAAGATTAATCTCTTACGGAAATAATAAGAATTAAACTCATGAAACTCTATGTACTAGAATTTGTTGACAGCAATTCATGTCTTCGGAAATTATAAACATAATTATACTGGATTTATTATAAAGACTTAAAAGCAGCAGTATAAACTATTGTTACTGAATAGAAGCATTATAACATTTACGGTTTTTAAACAGTAGCGTACAATCACAATAAAGGCACAAAGAACATACATAGATATGGAAACAATAATAAACAGGTATTAAGAGAGAAGACAGACCTTATAAGTAGATACATAAATGAAGCACCAACCTCTGCCAGTAGACTACACATACCTACACCAACGATACAACCGTAACTGCTTATAAGAAGTGAAGATAAACATATAATGGAGGATTATGGACAATATAAGTAGCAACCGTTTATATAGCCAACGCTACAGTCTATATATATAAGTACCCCAACACATAATGGCGATGATCATGAACCGAACTACTGCGGTAACGAACACTGTCTACTTTATCCATCTGTGACTGTTCGTTTTACCTCTTTCAGTTGCGCATCCAGCAGTTTGACTTGACCCTCGTATGATTCTTCCCTTTGCGTCGCCTGTGATTATTATATGTTAACGAAAAACACAAAACAACGAAACGAAAATCCATGCAGTATCTCACAGCGTTGCTCATTAATAATTCATTAACGCTATGACACACCAAACGGCTATTTCACTAGGGTACACTGACAATAACTGTAAAGAAATGCATTCATTCATGTCGCAGCCAAAATAAAGAAAGAGCGAGTATTAAGGTATGAAAAACGCAACACTCATGTAAACGCACTACTTCTATGTCATCATCACCGATAACTAATTAAATATTTTATAGAAAGTAGCTGTTACTCAACAAAATATGAAGGACGGTGAATCAAACATAGATACTACACTACAGGGTGTGCGTATCAGTAGGTATACAGTTAGGCAAGCGTACTAAAACACTCGCATATTAAAACCGATCTCTCTCGCATTCACACCTCCTTTAGGCGAGTGGTGAGGGTTTTGATCTGATTTTTGTACTCCTCCTCACGTTGGTTGGCCTGTACAAAATGGTACACACTTGATTACTCTTCTATTTATATCGTTGGCAATTCACTCTATAAAAATTACGACCGCGTATCTACCATAACCGAATTCTTAATTAGCATATACAGGGAACAATGACTTACTAGTCTCATTGAATTGTGATAATAGTTTTTCAAGGATTTTTTATACCAAACCATTGGATGTCATGTAATCTAATAAGTAACTTCGGTATTTGGTTGGTGCATCATACACTGAGGCTATTGCTATCTTGTTTAAAAAAGAACTACAATTTTGTATTTATTACTGAACTAAAGAAATCTTTAAAAATTTCTTAGCTTAACTTTGTTTAGCTCAAAAAAATATTTATAAGATAAATAATACAAAAGGCAACCAGCATACCTTCTCCTCCGAGACCTCAAGGGACTTCAAGTTGTTGCCAACGACGCGGAGCTCTTCCTCAAGCTCGACGATTTTGCTGAAAAGTAACATTAAAACAATCAATTCCCACTGAAAATCAATTCCAATATCTGTAAGTTCCTTTATTTGATCACAGTACTGATGGTACAATATATTAAAGAGTAATAAGGTTATATTTTAGAAAAATAATTTCCACAAATTAATAAACAAACCTTCCAATTTTAAAGGTTCTCAATATTTCAAATAATTTAAATGGGTGACCTGCATATTTGTTAATTTAACCAATCATACACATTTGAACTATTCATCGTGCAATATTAATAAAAATGAAGCGCGTGCCTTCACAGTCAGTAAATGTTAAATCATTGAGTCGATGGTTGCATCAATTGATATAGAAAGTGAACAAATTGGTAAATATGAAAAAGTATATATAATTTGGAAGAAAAATATTGAGCAACTATCAACAGTCATGCAAATATTACTTGTGGCGAAAATAATCATTAAATTTTGTAAGTGAACAATTAGGTACACTCTTACGTAATCAACATTATTAATAGAATATTTTCGACACGGAGATGTGTTATGTACCTAAAATCTACGAATAAGCATGAGTCAGATTGATAAAAATCGATCATTGCATATTGGTTCTCGTTTTCACTTTTAGAAAATAAATATACGTTGTGCGTGAAACCGACAAATTTGTTTCATTAATTTACTTGTTAATATCAATTGTACGCGAAGTTCCAACGGCAATTATAATAGTCCTTTTGACGCCGGTAAAACAGTTGGTTATTCTAAAATATTCCAATCGAGAATTCACACCGTCCATGAATATCGGATTAATTTGTATTCAACACGAGTGGCTATGATGAATAGTGTCTTTTGTTGCTCAGTTGGCCCTAATGCGCTAATCTATATTGAAACATGTGATTAAATGCAAATGCCGGATATTTTCTGCATATTTGCAGCATAATTGAAACAGTCACGTCTGTGGCGTGTGAATGGCTTACATTTGGTTAAGTTTTAGTCAGACATATTATAAATTGTGTCCAGAAATATAGTATGTACTTTTAAAAATATATTACTTATGATCTCGTATTTCAATTAGGCACAGCTTTCTTTTAAGAGCCACTTCTACAGCTTGATTACCTGCATGCTGTGTTCCGGTTTGAAAAAAATATGACGTGAAATGCATACACACTCTGGCTAGAGTTACAGTAAATTAGTATTTCACTGCATATGCAGCGAAATACTAATTTACTGTAACTCTAGCCAGAGTAAGTGGTGCCTCTGGTATTGCAAACTTTCTTAGCCTGCATTAACTGCTTTCACTTATTTTATTATTTCATATAGTAATAAAACAGAAAAAATAAATAACCAATGCTAATCATAATCAATCTAATAGATATATCCTTTGAACAAAGTGAAATCATTAGAAGCCTGGTAATAATATAAATGGTTAATTGTGCATCGTTTTATAACAGAATCTACTGTAAACACGCTGACCAGAGAGTTTTATACCACATTTTTTTTAAAATGTGGTATAAAACTGAATATAGAATACTAGCTTCGCTAAAATCGTAAGTAAGTTCCTAATTTTTTATTGATCATAACATGGCTGACTTTACTGAATTACATTCCAAGTATTTACATTACTATAGATCAATGCGTATTCTAATGATAAGATATAAATTTTATTTCATTGCTAAATATATCTTTAAAAAGTATAAAACGTTATAAAGTCATAAATTTGTGTATTTCGACAATCACAATCCGAGTCAACTGCAATAGAATACTGCTCGCGTAATATGCAAAAGATAATCGCAAACGACACCGCATACAAATTCAGTGAAATAACTACTACTTAATTTAATGACTACGAAACCTTTACTATTTTATGTCTACGTTAACTACAGACAGTGTAAGTGTCAAGAGAATTCTAGACCCGGCGCCATCCATAGCTTCAAAGTTTTTAAACTAATATTAAAATCTTTCAGGACACGTTGGAAAATTGGTCGTGCAAATAAAAATGTACCTACTACAAATGTTTTGCAAAAATGTGCACTTATAATACAGAGGTAATAAAAGACTTTGTGAAACAAGTGTACCTAAGTGGAGCACGGTATATATTATTTAAACTTTGAAGTAATTGATATTAATTACAAAACCGACACGGAGAGACAAAGCGGAAATGTTTACTCCAACCTTTGACCATAATGCCATCTATAGTGACATTGTAAGCATTTGCATATTTGAAGCTGTATTTGACGCCGGCTTGTCATGTGAGTGTTGGTCGTAGAACTCACCAGTCGCTCTGTTCAGCGCGTTCCTCGGCCCTCTCTAGGTCGTGCTCCATCAACACGAGCTTGCGCGCCACCTACCGCCGGCCGAGCGTTAGTACACGCCCACACGCACACACACACAACACACACTAGTCTACATAGTCGGGCGCCGCTCTCGACTGCCGCTTCGCTGGTGCAGTGCAACTTACTTTGATATTTGCTTATTGACATCTGGATGTACCCAGCCACTTCGTTCACCCGGCCAGATTGTGGAAAGTAAAATGTGCAGTGATCGAAGTCGTAGGCAAGGTTTAAAGAAGAAATCATAATTTATATCCGGGTTCAAAAAAGTGGACGTCATTAGTATTTTTGAAGAGATAATTGAGTCCATTAATGGAAACAATTGCGATTTAGATTTAATTTCGAAAAAAAAAAATTTTTTATTAAATGTTATCGCTAGAAATATCAAATCAAAAGCAAAAGCGAAGGAATTATATTGATAAATGGATATAAACTAGAAGAAATAAAGATTAACAAAGCGGGGAGTCAAGAGCGGCGTCAGTACTCATATTAATAAAAATAATAAACGAGGGTTGTCCCAAAACATTTAGTTCTTACATTAACTTTTTTGAAAATATTTAAAAATCTAAGTGCTATCTAGTGCATTATCGTAATCGTTATGTGATGTGTGCGCTTGCATATGTGCGGCACGCATACGGCCAGTAATTCTGGTGTAATGCGGTGCATATCTGAAAACGAAAATTGCCCTATACCACACATATTTCCTGAGAGCCTAACTCCTAACTTATAGCCACGTTTAAGAGATACACACATTGAAGACAGAAGTTTAGTCGACACATGGACGTGATAGTTATACATTTAAATAAGAAATATCCATGAAATGGGGCAACCCTTGTTTTAGTCTGATTTTAAATGGACAGCGGCGCTTATTGACCGTGCAGCGGTGCATAAGCTCCGCCGACCGGTATGTCCTTAAAATTAGGTGGTGATACCGTTTCAAGAATCTACAGAACCGGTAACACTGACTAAATTAATGTTATGGTTGATGCAAAATTATAAGTAATTAATAAATGTTATCTCCTCCTCGGCTCGCGTCGGCCGGACGACCTAGAATCGGACATGCAATAAAACAGCGAGAACCAATGTTAAAAATACCAAAGTAGGTAAATCGGGTTACGGTGCAGCTATGTTACGAATGCAAATGAACAACCATGCAAATCGGTGGAGAAAGTTACAAAATAAGGCCGTAGGACCACTTGCATTATGCTCAAAATTGCCCGACACACTCAAATTATAAGTAAATCAGTCTTTGTGCGATTTAGTATGTCACACTAATTTAATAAAGTTAAAGGCAATTTTGAGAGAAGCAATGATCATCCAACGATAGCGAATGAAACCTACGATTCACCGGATTCGGCACGCTCCTCCGCGCGCTCCAAGTCAGCCTCGACCATGGCCAGCTTACGAGCCACCTGAACACACCATACCACATTAACAATCACAATTTATCTGTCATACAAATGTCAGAGAATAAAATCAAGGTATTACTAAGGTAGCGTGAGTCTTGAGTAAGCACACCCTTCGTATATGGAAGTAATGCTTATGTAACGACATACGACGGAGCTTGTTCTACCCATAAAAGGTAAACAAACCAAGATCAGGCACGGCTCCATGTTGGGCGCTGACTTTTACGGCTGCCTTCTCCGTGCAGGGTCATATGTCAGGGGAATTAGGACATTAATATACTACGCCATCTGTTGGCAGCAGATGTTTAGATTTTTACAACTTTAAATTATCCAGTTGTAAAATAAGTTAAATATTCAAGTCAAATGTACATTAATGTTCTATAATAAAAATCTCTGTTTAAGCTGAGACGTGTTAATGCATGGATAAAATGTTAGTTAAAAATATTCTTCACTCTAGAATTAGTGCCACATCATATAGTATTTTAAGAATGTGACTATATTTTGGTCAGTATAGGAAATACAACAAAAACTTTACACTAGAACTGTAAAATGAGATGAACACGCTAGTTTATTTTCAGTTATGATTACACATATTGAATGTAATGTGCATATTTCATTTAGAGGGATCTAAATATATTATATTCTTATGAACTTGTGTTATAACAATTGCACTGCAGCAAACAAGACAAGCCAAACCAACCAAACGACATCGAAATTCCTATTTAAAGACCTCATCGTATTTCTTGTCGGCTTCTTCAGCGAGGAACCTGGCCTCCTTCAGCTGATTCTCCAGGGCGTCCATACGCTCCTCATCGGCCAACGACCTGTTCTCGAGGACCTTTCGGGCACTGGATCCCATAACAAAAACCGTCAGCATCAACAGTACATGGATATTTATTTGCCTACTGAATATGTCTAGATTATCAAGGGTAACCCAAAAATTAGGTGTCATGCAAAAACGATAACGATAGCATTTTAAGAGGAACATAAAAAGCAAGACAGTCTGCAGCACTGGAATACTGTGGAGAGAACGCATTCAAAACGAGAAATAAACCACTAAAAACATATAATAATAACCTAAACTCATTATACTGTGATATATTAAATAAGACAATGTTTGGCTTTAGATATTCTCGTTTTAAATGTAAATTATTACTGTTATAAAACAAACTATAATGCTATTACAATAGCATTCTAATTTGCATTCAAATATTATTGTTATTTAATGATTGTAAACATTTTAACAAAGGAATATTGCACATTATTGCATTACATTGTATAAAAATAATGAAAATTAAACATGATATGAATTCAAATTAGGTTCCAAAATTCATTACAAATATCGATATAGTTCATGTATCCATGATTCTAATGAACCTGAAATCATGAATGAAAAGGTGCTTATTAAGTAATCAATGTGCAATATTACTTATATTATGTACGTCGGAGATGTAACAATCCAGTTCTAAGTAAATCTATAGGAGGTGTATAAAATTATATTATGGACAACAGTAAGTCTGCAATAAAAATTAACAAACTGGATTATCAAGTTTCCGAACGTTACAAGCCGACTGGTTCGTAGTCGGGATGTTCCAAAACTTTCAACGATCGATGAAGTGTTTTTCCAAGTTTCCAACCGTCGTAATATTCAAATTTCATTAAGACATGACGATTTATTATGTAACGCAGTTGCAAAGAATTCTCTATTGTAATAGATTTCAGACTTATACATTTGCGTTTTTGTATGTAATGTTTCTTAACTGTAACATAAAAATAATTCAAATAGAAAACAACAACTGTACATTTTATGTTTCAATTGCCACAATTTTTTGTTAGCAGCCAGCCGCATTACATACCAAAGTGGCTCATATTATTACTTCAATCGTTGAATAGTTTTAGCTATTTCTTACGAATGACAAAAATCATAGTGAAGAGTTCACCTCCTCGTATTTCTTGTCAGACTCCTCGGCGATGAGCTTGGCTTGTGAGAGCTGTGTCTCCAGGATGGCCACACGGTCGTCCTCCATGTTGGTTCGGTTCTCTAGCGCCTTGCGTATTCTAGTTAGTGCGGGCCAAACACATGCATGTTACAACATGGATCATTGTTAAATAGATTACGGAATTTGTTTTGAAAATTGATGGTGACACAATTATTATTGTTACTCTAGTCTAAATTGAAAAACGGTATAACTATTAACAGATAACGTTATAAATATACAAATTCTGTTAAGCTATCTCCCTTAAATACGCACAGATGTGATCAACTATTATTAAATCATTTAATAAACATTATGTAAATTTAAAATATTTGGTCAATGATATAAACTTTATTAATAATGATTCTTAATATTAATCACACATTGTGCTAGTTTATAAACTCTAAATAGTCGACAAATTATTAAAATTCAAATAAAATTTAGGTGGCAGTTCGACACGCTCAAGGAAATAAGAATGGTGTGGTTAAGGGCAAAAATAAAAAGAACACTCATGCATACAAGTATAAAACATCGTAAATATACTAAATTATATACTAACTATAGTTACATATATAATACCAGTTTTATTTTCAACTGCTTATAAAATGATCTACACACGGCACTAAAATCTAAGGCAATTTCGTAGCAGGGGGTGAAGACTCAGTGTGTCCACTATACGACAATTTCGCTACACACGAGGCTCCGATAGTGCTCCTTATTTTAGGGTCGTGTGGAAACCGTTTAATAATACTTTTCGTAATGCAATAAATTATGTAAAACCATATTATTCTGTCTCAGCGTTATCGTAATCACATTCGTATGAGATGGTTGACTGGCGTATAAAAATATTTACACAATGTACAAGCTATTTTCTGTGTGATGTATTTGTTCCCTTGCGTATCGTAAGACCACGTAAAGGTACCTATAACTCTGTAGATATAGAATATTTAGAGATAAGATCTCGGTCTAATTCAACCAGACTCACACATCATACAGGGCAGTATCTTGAAGTCCGATAAGAGTCTATTTGCTCAATAGCACTAAAATTACGTGAACATATTCTTTATCTATTTACAGCACTTTAGGACCAGTCAGGTAAAGTCCACTGCCATATATTCATAAATTGACGTGAATTTTCTATTACTTTAATAAAAATTGAAAACAGCTTCATGTTATAAAAAACTACTTATAAATGATAAAATACTATATTTTTCATGTAAGTATCCACATCATAAATATATTCTAATGTTAACTAATTTTAGTTTGTTTACAAAAAGACGTATTTTTAATGACAATAGCATTCTAAGCCAGTCAACCTTCGAATGCGGTATTTATTATTATATATTATGATTGGTGAAGTTAGAACAAAAAGAACTCAACTCAAGAGAACAGAATATAATCTATAATCGTACAAGAACATATCATCAGATAATCAAATTAATTAACACAAGAAAGGGCCTCCGGCTTAACAATTTTAACATTAAAGTTGATATCAAAGGTAGCGTACCTTTGAGTAAGATCAGAATATTTTTAGCCAAAGTTTTAAATCATTACTCTTTATTCTAAACTAATGGGTATACTATAGGGAGTAAATAAATGTTCGTTTGGTTTAACTTCACCTTCACAATAATGAATTTAAACAATATTGTAGATTTGAAAACTACACTTATTCCATATGTGTAGTGTGCAGTACTGGCTTGAACTCACCGTTCAGACTCATCAGCAGCTTGGCTAGCCTCAGCCAATTTGGCTGTGGCGGTGGCAAGACGCTCCTCGGACCTCTCCAAATCCTCCTCCAGCAGTTGGATACGTCGGTTGAGTGCAGCCACTTCGGATTCCGCCTGAACAGAACATAAAGTCCAGTCAATATTTACACTATTTTATTTAATGCTCAGCCTCGACTTCATTCATTGCGTTGTTCTAAATCTAACATGAACTACTTTCATTATTTTCCAATGACAACTATTTCCTATTCGCGCCTTGGAAAAATTTAATACTACAGTTCTCATTCAATTTAAAAAGTAATCAACACTTTTTGCGTAAAGTGCACACAGACAGACTAATAGTAAACAAAAATTAAAATTAGATGTCTACGTAATTACCTATATTAACAATACAAAACAAATAGAAATTCTGAAGAAAGTTTGAATGGTATTCGAAACAAATTTTAAAAAATATTGAATACTTAACGAAACAGATTAGTTAGTACGTCCATACATAGAATGAAATTATATACTTATCAAATTTAAGGATTAGACAACTCTTACAAAAATACAAAATTATATTATTATTAGAGTACAATACATGTTTGTGTAACTTCGTTTCAATCATTTCTTTATTTCGCAAAATTACTACTACTAATATTTCATAACAATATGTTTAAAAGTACCATATCCTTCACAATTCTAAAACGTACTACATTTTAACGGTGCCCTATTCAAAACACCAAACAGTTGCAGGTAGGTGATTACAACGGTCATGGCGTAACTTAGAATTAGCTATACAGAGTTTAAATATTGATGTAAATCCAGTTATACACGCACGTGATAATATTGAAATAGTACCGTCGTCATTTAATATACATACTTTAATATACGTACTGTATTGTTTTACTTGCACAAAGTCATGAGACTTTCAGCAGACCTTCCATAAAATGTTCTTTCAAAACTGCTAATTGTTGTGCTGTGTATATAAATTGTCTAAATATTTTTCTACACCATTTTAATAAATGAAACTGATTCTATATTTAGTCACTATACAGAATAACTACACGAGGAATAGCAAAATGAAGCTTCACAGTAGTGTAAACTTATATCTATGGTAGCTATAGTTAAATATTAAATATAGGACTACACATACGCTAGACTAATATCAGCTTAAGTAAAGCAAAACAAAGTATCAACAGTTTATTACAGACATAAAAAATAAATGTTTTTGCACTGAAGCACTCAAAAAGAAAGTTAATGTCGTAACATCTGAGCAAATACAACAACCTAGGCTCACTGAAGTAAATGTTGTCGAGTTACGGCTGTTGACAATGTTATTTCGTAAAAAACTACGGTAATAAAAATTTAGATGCGCATCCCAAGTACTAAATCATAAAAGAACTTTAAAAAATGCATATAACCACTTCAATTTGGGTTGATTTAAGGCTAGTGATAGCCTATTTTAGTCAAAGTTTGGAAAAGTAAAAATTGACGTACACAAAACTTAATATACTGATAGAAAAATATCTGCGACTTGCGACTTTTCAAGGAGATGGCAACTCTTTTTAATAACAATACAGAAGTAAAGTCTGTCATGGAAGTGACACGGTATCACAGAGACAGGATATACTGCTTGCTTGAAATAACATTTGGTAAATGTTGAACGATGTTTTGAATCATTATAAAAATAACTAAGTATCATTTTTAAAATATTCCGCAGTGAGAAATGCTTTTAAAAGTTCACCTGTCAAGTGGATACGATATGAAAATAATAAATACCTCTCTGCAAATTAATGTGACCTCAGCGACATATTGTAATGACGTATAGAATTAATCCCGTGAATTAATATTAATTGTGTTATACACTTTAGCCTCATTTAAATATAGACAACAAAATTAAATGTTCCAACACTGATATACTATCTAGGTTGCAAACTTTTATGAAATTGAAACAGGATGAATATAAAACTTCCTGCAAGCTATTAATATTTTACATTGATTTTTGTATTAAAGACCAATGATTAAGTATAGAAATGTTAATGTTATTTGTTGAGGTATAATACTTTTTGCTGGTTATATTTATAAGATTCTTATATTCATAGAACAATTGAATTTTTAACTACAAAGTATCTACCTATTTTAAACTTAGCGATTTAATTTCACGAAACACATATAATGTGATAGTGAAAGAATGCAGTTAAAAGTCAAATTAACCAAGAGATGAGCTTGTTGCAATGAATGGCAACTGATTCTTACTGTCTACCTCGAAAAAACCTGGCATGACGACATATAGATAATATGTTTAATTATATAGTTATCAGGGTATAAGTACATATCTTAATTAAAACCTATATTTTATATTTCTAAAAAGAATAATTATGCATTCTCTGGTCTGTTTATCGAACCAAAGTATATTTTATTTGATAATAAGTATAATATAACCTTAAAAGATAACTTCTACCACCGATAAAGTGAATAAATGTTTACCACGATTATACCATAATCAACAATAGGAAGTGAGAAGATCCACTTCTACTGACAATTTTATTCAAGTGTGAGTAATCTTTACCTTTACATATCTATTCACTGAAATATTGCATTTAAAAAATTGAAATTACGTTTTAAAGAGCTATTTTGGCAACACACAATAAAGCGTCTACACATGGCTCTAAAATCTGAATCATTTCATCGCCTTGTGTGTCAATCATAATTACATCAATCATAATCATAATTACGGCTAGGGTGCTATATAACGCCAGCAGCAAATGCGACTGCAGGCAATATTTGTGGTTACTTCGAAATGAATTCAGTTTTGATTTCAAAGATAGTGCCATAACAATAAAGTTTGCAGCATTACCAGTTGTACTGCATCTGTACTAATCATACACTAGACTGCTTCACCTGACAGCAACAGCTTACAATATAATAATACCTTTCAACGAATTACAACATAATGTGACCTATATCTGTACTTAGGTATATTACTTACAAAAAAGACCAAAAAAATATATAAAATAGACTCACTATATGCTTTAAGTTTATATTATAATAATTACCTACGTATTCCAAATACAATTTCTGTAAGAACATATAAGTAACATTGTTCAACGTTTAAAACAAGAATTACGTGCTCGGCATTTCGCGTCGCTTTATTTATATTCAACGAGTTCCACATGCTCATGACATCACGTGTCCTTGTCGCGAGGAAGCTAGAACGAGTCCCAGTTTCTACTCCTATTATCCTGTGTCGTCATCTGTGCTAATAATAGTAGTGACGGGACCTATTTATACTACTATATTATCGTAATAGCATCGCCTTAAGCTTAATGCGTTCTTTGTGTATATAAATTCGGCAATTAACTTTTATTTTTATTTTTAATTTCCACCAATAAGTAACGTTTATTGTAATTATAAAATACTAGCTGTTACCGGCGACTCTGTCTGATTTTTATTCGAGATAAAAGATAGCATATGAACTTCAAAACACTACCATTCATACGAAATTTAAATAAGATTCATTCAGCTGTTTAAGTATATAACAAACAGATATACAGACAGACACATTTCCGAATATATAATATTACTAATAGATATCTACATAATTAGTACTAATTGGCTTGTTGCTACGGACATTTTCAAAAATACTCATTACGTTATTATATTAGATATTTTATATATAATTCACACTAAACTTTATTAGCTCATGCTAAGTAGAATTATATCACTAGTGCTTCGGTTTGGTCACCTTGAAATAGAAAAACATGTCTGCCTAAATCGACATCTACAGCTATTTGCTTTGTACCTACGTAACTACAAAGTAGTAGCCTCATCTCATATCAAAGGCCAAAGACCTCCAGTTGATGACTAACATTTAAATATGATTAAGATTTACACCGAAAAAATTCCACAATTTATGTGCACTGGTGTTGTGAACAATCAATGAAACGCTGTATAGGTCACACTCAGTCGAGTAATGTTGTAACTTTATGAATACCCAAAGTAGTCAAAACATATTGTTTAAAATGTGGGATCGGTTAGGTTAGTCAACGGTGCATCCATTGTAATGACCACCTACAATGGCCACACCAATAAATTGTAATGCAGCACGGTCACGTAAACGACCAGTGAAAAAAAAGAGTCGAATTCCGACGCCATAAAGCCGCCAGATGAATGATCACAAAAATATTTTAAAAATTAGAACTGATATTGTATTTAAGCCAAGACTGATAGCTTTTTGTTTATTATATTACGTAAGTGGATAGCCGTTTCCGAATTATGATAAAAAAACAAATTTCAAGTACTCAGGCAATATCGCTATTATGTTATTATTTTGAAGCTATTTTCATTCTGGGCAAATAGTAACGAGTATAAAACACTAAAGCTTATTGTTATGCTTATATGTAAGAGATTCAGTAAAGTAAAATATGAAAACTAACTCATACATCTAAGTGTGCTGCTCAATAGGCACTGATGCACATTTCTTTCTAACTGTTCCTTTAAAACGAAATGTTGACCTCAGTTTAAAGTGCCTTAGGTTTATTTCAAATGTTAGTACACGCCTACAGCTTTACAGTAACAGAAAACGAGACAAAACTTACATTTGATGAGTATAATATTATGTAAATTACAAAATTTTGTAATTAATTTACCAATAAGAAAATTATCTGTAACTATATGAAAAAAAAATCTAGGTAAGTACTTATCATGTTTTTTCTTATTCTTGCATTCCTTATCATCTTTGATACAAGCAGCGATAAGGCACGTGGTATTTAAATAGCAAGTGAAGTGTATTTAGTTAGAATTTCAATTACATTATAAATTTAGTAAGAATTAACAACGTTGTTCTGTGGATTAGAAAAAGTATTAAAAACGATGAACGTTTCTAATATGCATGAGAATCGATATGAACATCGTAATCATAATGAGTTACGTCATTACAACGATAACAGCGAGGAGCTCGGACACGCCTTTACGGTGTCAGCGGTCCTTCGAGGACGTTCGAACAGGAATGCTTTACAGGGTGCTAAGCCCTCACTAATCCAGCCGGCTTGCTCTACATGTGCCACAATAGACCGGTATACGACCTCCAACGCACCAAACCTGTTACGTGTAACAGAAACCGAGGACACCCAACCGCGTACCAATAAAATTATATTGCCTAATTTTAAACTACAATTAGAAAAAATCCCAAAATCTGAATCATTCTATACTGCGGTACGGCCCTAAATTACCGAAAGAAATACATACTTGATAAAAAGAATTATTATAATGCTATCTCTTTCTAAATGATAATATTGGGATGAATCTGAAAGAGAAGCAAATATGCGTACGTCGCCTATATACCTATGTATGGCCGGACATTACTCACTATAGGTAGATGGTAAAGACTATACTGATAACTTCCATATTTTCTCAAAAATAGTTCTTGACTTCATTTCACACTAAAACTCAAAATACACATGATACACCGCACAATATAATATCACATTGCTTACTTCTTCTCTCCGCATTATTTCCACTTGTAGTCTTTTGTGGTACTCTTCACATTCGTCCTTATATTTCTCCATTTCCTCTTTTGTCTGGCGCATTTTCTTCTTTAAAACGTCGAGAATTGTTCCTTGCTGCATGTTTGTCGTCATTTTGATGCACTTTTGTGTTTTGATTAAACGCCTAAAAGCTATAAAACTAAAGACACCTCCGCTCTACTCGCGAAAATGCCAACCGACTGCCTCGTTCGTTATGCCCCGTATCGCCGAGATGGGCTCGGCACGAATGAACACAGCCGGCGAATAAAATGGCCGCCAACAACCTATACGCCGCAACGTTATCGTCACTTTACTAATAGGGGTTCGTTTGTAAAAATTAATAATTATGTCCAATTAGTAAATCACAATTCTACTATTATTAACTAATTGAAATACAACAATAACTGAAGCAATCACACATCCTTGGAACGAGTTTGACAGTATGATGACTGGACGTCACTTTATTACACCTTGATCGACCCAAACCGCACTGTTAGTGGAATGACAAGTAGCGCCACCTGTTGACGAATGGTGAGAGAATAAAGCCCTACGCGAGGAAACGATACAACAGGTAGGGAAAGCCAAAATATGGGATAGGTGCAACGCCTGACCAACTACACAACAATAATTACGGAAGTACAGATAATTACAGTGCCATGAAGGGCTATAGAAAAGTAACATGTAAATAGGAAATCAGTCATGGGAAAAATGTTGCTTGCTGCAAAAACTGTACCTAATAATCTAAAAACTAGTAATACTATTAAGAATATGTACTAAATGATATTAGATTTAAAATTTATTAATGTATAATATATTTTTTATTTGAGATACGCTGGAATTCTACTGTTTTTATTCATACAAAAGGACGCCATTAACAGCGCCATCTAGTGTGAATTCTAAAAATCACTTTAAATTTAAGTTTGATTCTTTGATGTTCAACATGACACGTTATACAGTGAGCCGAAATTCATGTGACGTCATTTGGAAAGTATGTGGCTGATTTAAAATTCCGTTAGGTACATGACGAAGCAGATAATGGAGTCGATGTTGGTAAAACAGAATAAGACCCGAATAAATAGGAAGAAAAATATCTAATCAAATTAGGTACGATGTACGAGTATGAGTACGATTTAATTTATTTAAGATTATGATGATTAGTTTTTGAAATTGACAGTTTAATATATGAAACGATTTAGGTTCACTTCAATTCAGATATCGGCGCCAGTATTTCTACTGATAGTCAGGTGGTGATGTCGGATTTAAAATTGGTTCTGAAATTTTCAATACACAATAGTAGTCAAAATATATTGTTTTGACTACTTTTTTTGCAGGCAATTTGTAAGTGAGTAAACAGAACCATCGTTTGTCCCTATATGAAGTAAACTGCGGTTTGCAATAAGTGTTTGTATGAAACTTTCCTATAACAAGTAATAAACTCTAAATTTATTTTAAAGTTTAGTCGCCTATATTAAAACTAAATTATTATATCCAAATTCAAATTTAAAGCGGATACAATGTGAAATAGTCATGTAGGTCTAATTTTATTGACCTTCAGCTAGCATGTGAGAGCAAAATAAACAGCGGAATGTTTATTATCCAAAGTTAAAAAAACAGATATGTTATACTTTATCAGGTCAGCTATGTACATCCTGTGTTTTATCAGTATGTCTTACCTATTCAAGAGCGTTCATACCAAAGTCTTGCAATATTTGGTTTATCGGTTTGCAAAAACAAATAACATGCAATGTTCATAAATATTATTAATGTTTATAAGTAATTATTAAAAAAAAATAACACAATATGTTGCACATAATATGCGAACGCACGATCAAATTTAAAATTTCAGTATAGTTTTTACCATCAAATCCAACATTCCATGGTAGTTTACTAATATATTGCAATATTATTGCTAATTATACGTTTGGCATAATTAGCAATAATATTGTAGAATGTTTAATCGTATTTTAATGCAAGCATTTGAACTAAGATGGTTGCCGCTCTTAATTGTCCTATGCATAGTTTCTATTCCAGATAAATATATCTTGATTACATATAATATTATCTTTCAAAGCCATATGGTCAGTGATCATTAATCAAAATTTGAGATGACCTTACTTGCGCGTATGAAATGAATACACACCATGAAGACATTTCAATGCAATCATAATTTCAATGACGAGTGAGATGAGTGACACCGACATCATACCTATTACAAAAACAGATAATTTAATTACTAATGCTAAAGGGTCACTATGTCATGTAAAGAACAAAATTGGCTGAATCTTTTAAAATCCATTATAGCAGATGAAATTGCGAGAAAACGCTTATAAGAATAATACATTTGTGTATAAAATTTTCGTTAAGTGTCGGCAACCTCCTCCTTATTAAGTATAATATACCTACTACATATATAGTAGACAACTTCTAATTTGTACTGAAAAAATAAAGTTTTATCATATCTCTCAACAACAAGGTTAGAATTTTTTTATAGACGATGAATAGATTTTACTAGACGCGAAGGGCGAAGGATTTTCTTTCTTGTAAGTAGCTACAAAATATAAATAATTAAAAGAACAGTTTATAGCCAAATGGTATTTACTTAATGATATTGAATAAATATGATCTTATTTAGAACGTATGCATTAAATTTCGTATAATAAGAAGAATAAGAATTTCGTATAATAATTACCGTTTCTGATACGGAAATGCAAAGGAATGCATATTTATGTACCTACATACGTGAATGTATTATACAAATTATAACATATAGGTATATTCTTTATTGTAAATGTAATTTATGTAACACGTCGATTGATTATTAAACTAGGACATGAAAGTGTGCATGCATGGAATTCAATTCATAAGTGCAGCGTTGTAATTGTAAATTGCTGAATTATAGTTGGGTAATCTTTACTTTCCGAGGCAATTGGTCTAATATTTATAGTATAACATGTAAAACAAATATATACACCTATTCTTATCAAACGTTTCGAATTACTGAATAATCTCTAATTCTTTATTTTAACATTGTTTGGTAAATGTTGCTGTACCAACGCACGCAATCGTTATAATGTGCTCATGTTCACTTTCAATTGCTCTAATATAGTACCTACGTACTTACTATTTACATACCTAATGAACAATTTAGAAAGTTTTTGGGTAACTTCAAACTTACGTATCGAATGCAAACACCCATACTAATGAATAGAATTTTGCAAACATTTACTTAGAATGTAAATATATCATCAGTAGGTACAGTGACCTAGATTTACATGGCTAGTCTTATCAGAACTACTACTATTGATTTGCTCGCTGATAATAATATCTAGTTAACGATATTTGTAAATGTGCAAGTCAACAAAACTACTTTACTAAGTAAATGAAAGTACTATGTAATGGAATTATAAATAATTTTGTTTCATAGAACCAAAAAATCTATTAAGGCTATAGTGTCCACGTGAGGTTACCGATCGCAACGACATCTAGTGACAAGGAATGCAATCATGCAAGTAAACATGTCAAACTAAAATGACAATGGCTCAGCTGATCACGGTGACTGAAATGTGCCTTTTTTCTGCCCCTTTCTATGACCCAACAACACACATCATCCCAACCTAAACGTGTTAAAAATAGTTCTGTGCGCATTTAGCCCACGCTCGTAGAACGCCAGGCTCGCACGTTTAAAAGATCATTCAAATAATATAGGACATTACCCTTTTTAATGCAGTGTTCTTGATATTCTGCAACTCATTCTTAATTATAGAAAATTTCATCATTGTATCCGAAGAGAAAATTGAACTGCCAAACGCCAGGCCAGGATAATCTGCACATCTTCTCCTCCTTCTGCTTTCTCTTTCAGCTAAAACCTCTGTACACTCACTAGTGCATCGTAACTTTGCAAGCTCTACTGTTTCGGGATCTTCATCGGAAATATCAGAAGCCACTGGAGCTGCCTCGGCTCCATCTCCAGCGGACCGTTCTTCTCTAAACGAGAAATCATCATCTGAACTTCCGCGTGATTCCGTTCCCGTTATTCTAATATCATCAAAATCAATTTCATCATCGATATTTACATAGTCCTCTGTATTTCGATTCGAAAGTGCATCGTCACTATTCGTCCTTGTCACTTCTCGAGATTCACTAACACTATTGACACAAGGCACAACATCGTTTGTTCGATTGTCTGAGGTCACTTGTTTGGACGGATCAGTGTTTGGTGTGGTGCTGGGGGCGGGAACGCGTTCGCCCCTCAGTCGCGGGTGGTGTTGATGCCCCCTGCGCCGCACGGGGGTGCGCCCGTGGGCGTGGGGCGCGGGCGCGGACATTACTACTTGCGGCGCGGTCGGTCCGGCCGCGCAGCGGCGGCCGCCATGTTGACTGACTGTCGCTTTGTAAAAACAACAGGAGGGCGCTGCTATCGCAGCACCTTACGTCTGCCATGTTTTGTTTTCATCGAACTGTTTTACCGACAACACTCTAACCAATTAGTTTAATGCTAATAACGCGGATAATTCAAAACTTTTTGAACTTTGGTGCGTTATTTCATATTTGAGTTCTACAAATAATTTTGATCGAAATAATTTAAATCAGTTTTAATTAAAATTATCTTAAAAAACATTCCTTTGTAATAAAAAATAAATGTATTGATTTATTATATTAACTTATTGACAGATCGTTTAATAATAGAATGGCTTCAGTCAAATGGAATCGTATGTAAAGCGTAAACTACTAACGCGAGCGGGCGAATACTCCGTCTATTTTTACTGAAACACCGGGCATCGAGCCCATATTAGGTGTCGAGCGTCGAAAATAGCACAGCGGCGCAAACTAAACATCGCAGCCCCCCTGAGCGCAAGAATCCATTATACCTACTTGCCACAGAATTAATGCATTTTCATACGTATGTGTGTCCGCTCTCAGTAATTCTCTTCACAAAAATTGTCGTCATAGTATGACGTAAAACGAATATTCAAGAATGTGACTGACGTGTTTACGTTTATTACTTGTTCCTTAAAATATTTGACGTAGGTATGTATTCGTAACGTCATAGTAAGTATAGTTTATTTCTATACGGATTACAGGACATTTACCTACTTACTTATATACCTATAGTAAGTCAAATTTATGTCTAAGGATAGATTCGATGTAATCTACACTAATATTTTAAGGCTGAAGAGTTGGTTTGGTTGAACAAGCTAGTCCCAGAAATATTAATGTTAATTGATGGTTGAAATGATAAAAAAGAATAATTACAATAAATATGAAACTCTCTAAAAGAACTCTGTTGAAATGCGGTAAATTACATTAAACAACGTAGATATAAATTATTGTTAGGATAAGAAAAAAAAACGTTTTTTCTAGAAGTATAATTACCTATATCTATTTAACAGATCGAGTTTCCACCGTACATAACAAAGATATATTGAAATCAGTCCCATCTATTTAGGATATACATTGCTATAAGCGAATCAAATGCAAGTTTTTTAATATCCATATTGAATAATATTGTTAAGGAACTTTAAATCTAAACACACAAAATATGATTTGATTTGTGTCTACACCCCCATTGTTATAAACCTTTAGTCGGCATGTGATCATTAAACTTAAAATAATTAAAAATAAATTCACAACAAAGCATCATCGGTGAAATGACTTGACGTCAACAAGCATGAATTGGAAGAATTGGAAGATCATAATGACAATGAAACTTTTGATATGTACAGTAATAATAAAAGAGTAAAAGTTAAACTTAAAAATATCAATTGATATCCAACATAAAAATACCAAACCAGCTTATGATACTTTCAACTCCTATCCAACATTTATATGTTAATTAGTAATGGCGATCCATAAAAATACAATAGAATAGAAATAATCTTCATTTAAATAATCCTATTATATGCTATTTTGAATAGTATTTTTTTTATAATATCATCACATTTACCGTAGTCTCTAGTCTCAGTAGAGAATGATAAGAAACTCTCTTGCTGTACTCCTTAAAATATTGAACATCACAAAATTAAGCTGCTTTTAATTCAAAATACTTAATGGTCTATTAAAGGATAAAAATTATAACTCTTTATTATCGTATAATAATTCTTACTCTTGTATAGGTATAACAGTATACGTAAATAAACGTATATATAATATATATAATAAACGGAGTAAACAGTTCACGTTTATAATTAATTATAAATGCGAAAGTGTGTTCGATTGAAATGATAGATCGGATTTTAATGAAATTTGATATGTAGATTGTATGACGACAACTTACACATTAGCTATGTTATATCTGAAAAAAGGAAAACGAAGTCGCAAGTTGTGAGATGAACGTTAACTCCAAGATAGTAATATTTTTTATTAAAGAAAAGTACTTTTTTATTTACTGCTCTTATAAGGTCCTTACATTTTATAAGGCCATAAAAATGTATTGAGTTGATCTTAACGCTTTTCCTTATGAATTCAGGTCATACAAGATCTACCTACGTACGTACTTAATATAAATAATATAATCATTATAAGTAAGCACTATGTACTCACATTCTGAAGAGCCTTCTCCTTTTCTTCCAGTTTGCCGTTGACCTGCATCAGGGACTCTTGTGTCTGGTCGAGATCATTCTCAATGGTCTGGATCTTCTTCTGGAGCTGTCTGGCTTCCTCTTCAGCCTTGAAGAATACAAAAATATAAGCATTGCAAAAAATATATTGCTAAAAGTTGAAATTGACTTTCTTTTTAAATACTTAGATCTCCAATGTTTTAGTTTTGGTATGGGCATGACATGTGGAGGAGCCGCTAGGAACCAAGGACCATGTCTTAAAGAAAGTATTTAATATTAATGCGGATGAATGTAAAGGGTGATATTCATAAAGAAGCTTAGCTCAGTTATGACGGCCAATAGGAATCAGTACAAGAGGGAAACATACTTCGACGAACCCCAAATAATGGGATGAACGCAAAGCAATGATGAGTCTTCAAGCTAAGGTCTGTTTTGCCTTTCTATTCTTATTTGAAATACAACTTTAACTATATTCTCTTAATTGACATAGAAATGGGAACTCCGACTGTACTTCAAACGTTGAAACAATATTTTTATTATTATTAAATTGACCATACCAATTTAATTTAAAAATAAATTATAAAATTAATGGTATAAAAATATTATTTGTTTTTTACTAATTTATTAACTAGTTTAAACCAATTTAAGTAACTTTTCACTTTTATGTGACAAAAAAATAGGTATGTGTAAATTAATTTATCTCATTATTTCTTGGATCACTTTAGGTATATACCTACTGGTACATAGGCAGGTATCTACATATATGTATTAAATGCATATGCAATATCTCGATTCAATAACAATTCGACATCTATAGATAGGACTTCAATGGAAATTATAAAGTGCACGTACTTGTCCATTGATTTTGACCTCAGTTTATCTGTTTGCACATTTAAACTACTAAACAGTAATATAGAGATAAGTCAAGACAGTTTTGTTCTGATGAGGAATGGTAAATGTAACCTTGCCACAGATGTTATTAAACGACAATGAGGTTGTTGTGAAAATAATTGTTGTATAAAATAACAGGTGCATACCTTTTACTTAAACAATGATACCAATAGCGATTTATAAAGTACGAGATATTTAACAATATGCATAACTCAAGTGTGGGATTAAGAGTACCTACTGTAAATCGATGATTCAGTTCCTTGTAAAATAGTCCATAATAATAATAAGGTAGATTTAGACTAAAACATATCTACAATAGAAAAATAATTAAGTGGTACCTACGAGTAGATTACATTAATTACTATAAAAAATTGTTTAACAGAGAATTATTTAATATAAAACAAAAATATATCCTTAACATATTTCTCATTATCATCATGTAGATTAATAACTTGTGATGATGATGAGATTTACAAATCTAACATTGAAGAACTTGAACGAGGAATCTTTCTTCGTTAAAATCAGTATGATCATGTAAATCACTTGTAAGCCTGAAACTTGCATTGTATTCTCATCCTATACATCGATATACATATGTGATCATTCATAATTGACTATGACTATCTAATCGAATAATTTATAATCATATACCTTCTCAGCACGAAGGTTGGCGTCCTTGGCCTGCTGCTCGCACATAGCGGCGCGGTCAAGGGCGTTGTCCTTCTCCAGCTTCATCGCCTGCATCTTCTTCTTGATCGCGTCCATTTTGGCGGTTTTTTTGTTACTACTCCGCTAATGAAAAGCTGTAACGAAATTCCAAAATTAATATTTTAATTTTTTTTTATCTAGAATATAACAAAAATATACTATACAACATTTCTGAAGATAATAAAATATCTATTTTATAATTAAAAATGTATTATTTCGGCTTACAAAATATGTGTTTTGATATACATTTTATTGGTTCATAATGTGGCGTATGAATTTTTAAATTCTGTTATGTATTTTTGAGTTACCACCACTTCCAAAATTACCCGAATTAATTATTTTATGACTCTACGTATGTACGTAATAATACCTATGTTTTCTTGAAAAAAAAACATATTGTTTGCATTGATAAATTATGCATATGCACCTGGCCTCAATTAATTCGTATTTTTTTTTTGTGGGGAAACTGTAAATAAGTATTTTTATATGTATTTTAGAATAATTACAGATTGTTATATAGATTCAATTATGGTTCAAACCTCATAAGGAGCAGTGCCAACTCTTATAAAAAGGAATTGATGAATGTGTTTACCAGTGTATTAGTTGCAATTTCTGATTCTTGTTAACATTTTTTATGGATAACCAAAATTAAGATAAAACAAATATATATATATATATCTCAATAATTTGTATGATGTAAGTAGGTATAAATTGATATAATTTACAAATTACAAACTTCTAATACTCCGACTTAATCTTAGTTTGTAGATGTCGTCATTCAAAAAAGTGAAATGTTTGAAATATCTTACGATGTCCGCTATTTATAGAAGTCAAGGTGCATTGATCTTGCATGCGGGAGAATTTCTGGGTTCCAGTCGTGGCGTAACTTACATGTTTCTAAGTGAGCTTAGTATAGTAACTTATTTAGTACGTATTTCCTTTTAGTTTAAAATACAATGATGTTTCGTATCATAATTTACATACAAAGAAAAATAATGTAAATACCATAATAGTTATTCATGATAGTAAACTTAAAACCATTTTGCAGTTCCATTGTTAAATATGACGTAAATTGCTATTTAAAAAAAAGTCGGAACTAAATTAAACTACTTGCCTATATACTAAAATAAAAAGCTAGCCAAGATTGACTTTTTACAATATTTTGACTTACCGTATCTAGTACTTATAATATTTTAATGGAAATAAATATT